CTTACCTTCCTTTGCCTTGGGGGTGCCTCACTGAAGACCGTGAGCCGCAGCCCACCCTTGGGGAAGATGATCGCTTGATCGAGCGTCCCCTTGACGTAGCGCAGCAGCCTCTTCACCGTCGTCCAATGATTCTCGCGCGGGTTCTCCATGAAGTGACTGACATACCCGACCGCGAACGTGATGTCCGACCGAGTATGCGTGAGGTAGCGCAGCCCGCTGACGATGCTCCGGTAGCGTTGCGTCCACCTTCGACGACATGCTGTGCTTGGACAGTTTCAGCCGCTCCTCCATTGGAGTTGGGCTTGCACTCCGCCATGCCGCTGCGCTCCAGCAGCTTCTCCGCATAGGCGCGCTGGCCCAGGGAGATGTGCTCCTTCCCCTGCCTCACCTCAATGCCGAGGTAGTAGGAGAGCGCGCCGAGATAGCTCATTTTGAAACGAGCAGTCATCTCGCGCTTGAAGCCGTCGATGTCCTCCGCCCGCACTCCAGTGACGATCAAGTCGTCCACATACACGCCGACGACGAGCTCCTTCCCCCGTCGTCGCATGTACAGCGCGTGCTCTGTGGCGCAACGAGTGAACCCAAGCTCGCCCGAGCTTGGTGTTCCATGCCCGAGGGGCCTGCCGTAACCCGTAGAGCGTCTTGCGCAGCTTGAGCACCTTGTGCTCAACGCCCTTGACGACGAGTCCGAAGCTTGCTTGACGAAGACCGTCTCCGCGAGCTCGTCGCTGGGGAACGCAGACTTGACATCGAGGTAGTGGACGCGCCAATCCTTCGTTGCTGCCATGGCCAACAGCAGGCGAACGCACTCCATTCGCGCCACCGAAGCAAAGACTTCCTCGAAGTCGATGCCCTCACGCTGCACGAAGCCACGGGCGACCAGCCGAGCCTTGTACTTGTACTTGACAATGGCGCCGTGCTCGTCCCGCTTCACCTTGTAGACCCGCTTCAACCCGATCGGCATGCAACCCACCGGTGGATCCACCAACTCCCATGTCCCGTTGTCCTCGATGGCCTTCATCTGCACTAAGGAGCAGCTCTGGGTCGTCGAGAAAACAACTGGCCAACCTAGGAGCTCCCCCTTCCCCGACGATGTTGTCCACCCGCCACCCGTCTGAACCGGACCTACTCGCCGTCGTGGAAAGCGTCCACGTACTCATCGATGTCGGTGGGTGGAGAGGCGAACTCCAGTGGAGGTGTCCCCTGTCCTGCCGTCGCAGGGGACTGTGGTGGAGGTGAGTGCGCCGCTACTGGTGGAGACTGCTCGTGCACGCTCACCATGGCTGGACTTGGCTGCTCCTCCTCGACCGCCAAACGGACCTCCTCGTCGTCGTGGAAGGCATCCACGAACTCGCTGATGTCGCTCGGAGGGGAGGTGAACTCGATCTGTGGTCCCCGGCCTCCCTGTTCTGCCGGAGTGGTCAGCATCGCTGCTGGACCGCTCGGCACCACTCCTGGAGTGGTCGACTCCACTGCTGGAGCGCTCGGCACCACTCCTAGAGTGGTCGGATCCACTGCTGGAGTGGTCGGCACCTCCTCAGTGTGCTCGGCACCCCCTCTGGAGTGGTCAGCTCCACTCCTGGGGTGGTCGGCACCTCTTCTCTAGCGTCTCCACCACCGTGGATGACTAAGTGTTCAACGACGAAGGTGCTGCTCAAGCTGCTAGCTTCCCCCGTGCCCGAACCCTCCCAGTCCCAGGTCATCTCATCGAACACCACATCCCTAGAGATCACCACCTTGCCTCTCTTGGGATCATAAAGCCGATACGCCTTGGTGCCCTCCTCGTAGCCCAGGAGCACCATTGGCGTGCTCCTGTCTTCTAGCTTGCCGAGGTGAGGCTTGGTGTTCTTCACATGGCCGACGCAGCCAAATGTCTTAAGGAAGGACACATTCAGCTTGCGTCCATGCCACGCCTCGAACGGAGTCTTGCCCTTCAGGGCCTTGGTGGGCGTGTGATTGAGGATGAACACCGCCGTGGTCACCGCCTCTCCCCAGAACTTTGCTGGCATGCTTTTGGCCTTCATCATGGATCGAGCCATGCCGACCATCGTCTGGTTCCGCCGCTCCACCACGCCATTCTGCTGTGGCGAGTACGGCACGGTGTGGTGTCGCACCACACCCTGATCCGCGCAATACGCAGCGAACTCCACCGAAGTGAATTCGCCGCCGCGATCAGTCTGCAGCACGCACAGCTTCTTGCCGCTCTCCGCCTCCGCGTGCGCCTTGAACTTCTTGACCGCTTCCGTTGTCTCGGTCTTACTGGTCAGAAGCTGCAGCCACATGAACCGGCTGCAATCATCCACCAGCAGATGAAGTACTTGCGCTCGCCGTGCGTCGCCGGCGTGATCGGCCCACAGAGGTCACCATGGACCAACTTGAGGGCCTCTGCCGCGTGGTACTTCGCCGTCTTCGGGAATGGCAGCCTTCTTTGCTTCCCGACCAGGCAGCTGTCACACAGCTCGCCTGCGTGCTCGATATGAGGTAGCCCAGTCACCATCTTCTCTAGCCGACCAAGAGCGTCGAAGCTCGGATGGCCATACCGGGCATGCCACAGCCACGGCTCCTCCGTGTGCCGTGCAGCCAAGCAGATGGGCTGCTCCACCTTCAAGTTGAGCAGGTACAGCCGGTTCCGGTATCTCTTCACCTTGGCAAGAAGCCGCTACTCTTGGTCCCTAATCCTGAGGACGCCGTCCTTGATCAGTACCTCGCTGCCGCGCTCATCCAGCTGGCTAATGCTGATGATGCTCGAATGCAACTGCGGGATGTAATATACATCCGTCAGCGCGCGGTGCTCGCCGTTCTGGCAACTGAAGATGATGGTGCCGCGCCCTTGGATCGCCACCCTTGAGCCGTCACCGAACTTCACCGTGCCGGTCACGCTGCCGTCGAGCTCAGAGAAGGCTTCCATGGAGCCTGTCATGTGGTTGTTGGCGCTGGAGTCCAGGTACCACCGCTGCTCCTGCTCGCCGCCCGCACGTCCGAGGTGGACATAGGCGCGCAGTTCATCGAGGTTGACAGCCTTCAGAGCCTTGTCGTGCCCTTCCACCGCCATCACCTCTCCCTTCTCCTTGGCCTCAACCTCGTGCAGTGCATAGAACGTCACCATCAGGAGAGTGGCCTCATCATCCTCATCAGCCTGCGCTAAATGAGCCTCAGCCTTCTCCTACTTGCGATTTGGGCACTCCTTTGCCCAATGGCCATTCCGCTGCGCCGGCAGGCGTTGGGGTCGACCTTCTTCTCTGAAGAAGCATTGCCGCGGCGCTTGCCATCGCCACTGCGGCTGGAGGAGGCTTCCCCAGACTTCTCCTTCATCTGGGCAACTCACTCCGTCTCTGTCAGCAGCAACTTGCCGCTGTCCATCGTTGCTGTGACCTGCTCCATGCACTCGTCCACCGCCCGTAGACGACCTGTCACATCCTCAATGGTGAGGGTGGACAAGTCCAGCGTCGTCTCTATGGAGACAGTGATCTGGATGTACTTCGCCGGCACGGAGTGGATGTATTTGGAGACCGCCTCTTCTTCGTCGATGGTGACGCCGTGGCTCCTCAGCTTGCAGCTGAGCGACTGCAAGCGGAGGGATAAGTCCTCCACCGACTCACCATCCTTGAACATGAGGTTGGCGTACTCCTAATTCAGCAGCTGGGCCGTCGCCTTCTTTGCGCGGTCGGAGCCGACGTGGATCGCTGCAATGGCCTCCCACGCCTCCTTAGCAGAGTTCTTCGCCCCCAATGGCTCCCTGTACTCCGCTGGCACAGCAGCGATGATAGCCTCCAACGCTAGCATGTCGTCTTCTTCATTGTCGGTGCCCTTGTCAATGGCATTCCAAAGCCGTCGTGCTCTGAGCTTGACCTTCACGGTCACCGCCCACTCGCCATTGTTTGTGCGAGTCAGCGTCGGCCAACTGGTGCCACTGACCTCCCGCACCGTTCGCACGACGACCTCCTGTCGTGGCTGGGCAGCCACAGCAGCGTCGCTGCTATCACCCATCTCCGAACCGTCCGTCATCGCGAGTAGTTAGTCCGACGATGGCGCTTGTACGGCTCCGATACCACTTGTTGGTCCCTCAGCTGCCCTGCACAGGTAAGCAGTAAGCTTACCAGCACAGTCACTCACTATGGCTAAAGGTAAAAGATATTGAGAACAGCTCACACACACAACACAAGCCCAACGCTGACCAAAAGCTCTGCTTCTGAATGTGGCAAACTGAATTGCTCTTTTGCATTGCCTTAGGTGTGATATATATACAAGTGCTAGTACCTCTACCAGGTACATAGTGGTTGGTGAGTACACCAACTACCTACTCCTAAGATACACCAACTACTCCTGGTACTAGCAGTACAAAGCTTAGATCAGCCCACAACCAAGACATGACTAATGTAATAGCTACCAACTAATGTACTAGAGATGGCCTATTGCCATACCGCTACAGCAGTAGAGACTGGACTGCCGAGCTGACCAAATACCAACTCTACTGCAGCAAGAGAAAGAGAGATCAGGAGCAGATTATGTCTTACAATGGCAACCTAAATATTATGATTAGTCAGGAAAAAAGGGGGGACTCCTACTATCTTGATTCATGGCATAGCAGTTTTTATATAAGCCCGGGTTTGTGGCTCTAATGTTTCACTAAACACCTCCTTTAAAACTTCAGGTGACAACATGGTATCATTGTCCATGGCAGTAGGCCAAGTTGGAGTGAGGACAACAGTGCCGGATGGATGAGAACATGTTGTCAGCTCGTGTGAAATCTAAGCAGTACATTGTGAAACATAACTATAAAGCCCATGATTATATGACACAAGACAAAACTGATATCAGGAGTCCGAACTCTCATGAATTTAACCTCACAATGTTATAACTATTAAACCCATATTATGTGACAGAAGACCAAATTGATATCAGGAGTCTGTGAAGTCTCTCATGAATGTATACCTCAGAATGTGCCTAAGACAATTGGACAGGTAAAGTGGAATGGAGTAACTAAAACTCTGCTGTGTTTTTTACAGTATACATTGGCCACTTGGTCTTACTGACTCAGTTTCCTATATTTTGGACAAAAGTGCATGTAAACATAAGAACTAATGGAAATTCAAACATCAATAAAAAAAAAGCCTGGCAGTGATTCCCATGGGTTTGCTCGCAGAGCATATTATCATTACCTCCAACCAGAAAGACCAATCCACATCGCTCTTTCCACTAAGTCGACAAATATATGATGGTGGCCCGCCACTTACAGTTTGAGGAGCTAACGAGGATAAACAGAACAAATTATTATCCAGCGAGTCTAATGGAAGCAAACAAAAGTAAACAGCATAAATAATTGCAACCACCTGGGAGCATGTTATCAGCAAAGGACCAATTTGATAGTGGCCCAGTAATATTGAGCACAGAGGTCCAAATTTCTGATAAGGAACTGAAACAGATAAAATCATAAATTGAAGTATGCATATAAAAAAGGGTATCATTTACAGGTTTCATAAATATGCATAAAATATAACTTTTACCCAAGTGAAAGTTTGAGATGCACCCTTCGCTGCCCATTGTTATCCCAGATCTCCTGAACAGCTAACTGAGGGAAACGCTGGTAATACTTTCTAATCTCTTCAGTTTGTGCCTGAAATTTTAAACTTCCAGAGAACAAGAACGGGACAGGGTACAGAGCCTGCAAAATGAAACAACTGTATTGCTGAATATTGCTTCATGTACTTTCGTCGCGCGCATTCATAAAGGCACAATATGTGTTGAAAATTGACAAAGGGAACTTGCAAGGTCACTCAATGTTACACTATCCAACTATACAGTTATGTTTACTCACCAACCATGAGCTTCTATCAGACCGATATTCTTCTTCAAAAGACAACTCAGAGTTATCCTTCAGCCATCTGGCGGCCTCAGGTGCATTGTTGAAAAGAAACTCCAATGAGTTAGAATCAACCACAGAGAAACCATAGCTTGAATCTATAACATTATTACCATCTGAAAAAAAGATCAAGCATAATGTTTCACAGGAATGTTATGGGAATACCTAGAACAAATGATATTTTGGGAAGGCCAAAAATATGCTTAAGACAACTTTTACTGCTCGTGACATAGATTACTATGGAAGAAGTAAAAATTTTAAAGGCATCAAATTACAAATGTCAAATATTCAGAGCCTCTGACTACAGTCGAATAAATTGTAAAATAGGTTCCCAAAGAGGACATGTTTTTGTAGCAGGGGCCAAAAACAAGGATCTTTTCCACTGATACACCAAAAATTTTGCAACTGAGAAATAAGTTTGAAACCCTATACTATTCCATGGAGAAGAAAATTAGACCTGACTCCAGGACTCGATTATAAATGAGCAATGTTTTCTGATCGGCTTATCGTTCCTAATCGGTCTGGTACCGATTAGGACGATCAGGACGATTAATCGACGATCAGGACGATTAATCGACCTCTGATCGGTCTAATCGTCCATATAATCGTCCAGCATATAGCAGGACTATATAAGTATATATCATATATGTATGGTATATATATAATATACCATATACTATATATTTATATAGTAGACATCGAGCATTACTATATATTCATATATATATTTATATACCATAGTAGACATTGAGCATATACCATATACTATATAGTAGACATCGAGCATTACTATTTATATAGTAGACATCGAGCATATACCATATACTATATATATATATGTGTGTATGGTATATATATAATATACCATATACTATATAATATACCATATACTATATATTTATATACCATATACTATATATTCATATATGTCATCCTAAGTGCTGATCGGCAAAGAGGCCTAATCGGACGATTAATCGCGAGTAATCGACGATTAATCGGACGATCAGGTTTCTGATCGCTCTGATCGAATCGGAGGGCCTAATCAAGTGCTAAGTACCGATAAGGACGATTAATCGCGATTAATCGTGATTAATCGGACAATCAGAAAACATTGTAAATGAGAACTTATTTTAAGTCCAAAGCAGAGTAGCTCCAGAAAAAGTGACTTCCAAAGGATCAAATGAATATTTAAATCGTTACAGCTTTTTAAACAATGAAACATTGAACATGATGACCATGAAACAGAAATAGAGTTTTGTTTCACTTGATTCAAAACTTGGAAAGAAGACCACCCATGATGAATTAGGTGACTTTTTGTACTAAGAAAGAAAGCACCAAGATTTGAGCGGAAGAGGACTCCAAGCCTCAAACTTAGCTAGTCTCAGTTCTTTATATTAATTTGGTTGCACCATACAAAATTGAGATACATTATTTTTTTTGCTACAATTCAGGGAACCTAAAAGCAGCGAACCTGTAACAAAAGTATGTTGAAGAACAACTCTTTTTGGTGCTCCAGTGCTGTAAGGAAACAGTTGAGATGAGACAGCCCAAGCAACCACTGTAATTTGCAGAAAGACATGGAGAATTGAGGTCTTCGACAACCAACGACCAGCAACAGGTGCTAGAGGACCAAAACACCAACCAACCACTAATCCAACAACAGCTCCAACAATAACATCAGGCACAAAATATCCTGCAAAACAGCCAAATCATGACGCTGTTAATTGCTGGAGTTTACTGTTTAATTACATTTTTTTTTTCTGGACCTAATAGTAATCCATGCAATATATCCAATGAAGAACATAATCCATTCAAGCTTATAATGTTTAGTAGCATATCCAGTACTCAAGTAAAATCAGGGTCAGGGCAAGTTGACTATCTAATTGATGCAATCCATTGTGGCATTTGTGATAGAATGCCGTTCTATCATGAGTCTGCTCTCAAGGACACGCCACATTGAAGGTTTTGTGGAGTTTTGAGGGATGAAAACGAAATCTAGCCAAAGTAAAGGTGTCATGGAGGCCAGCCGTCCCCAGATGCGTGGGCCAAGGCACCTCATCTATAAAGACTGCTGCAGGATGTACAGTTAAATTTATGCATTGAATTATCAAGGAGAGATCCTCATCTACCCCAGCGCTTGAGTTTGGGTGCTGTCTTCTCTGACATGCCCAATCTCAAGTATCTGGCTCAATGTCTTTTCGTTAAAGGTCTATCTTGCCTTGCCCAAGTCTGATGGTGGAGCCCAATAACCAGTATTTTACTCTCCTTATTTTTTCTATAAGTCAGGTACAACATGTCCTAGTACCTTTGAAAAATTAACATGCAAATCATCATAAGAGAAGATGGAGGATGAAGAAGAAATCATATTTTAACAAGGGGAGTGCCTTCCAGCTAAGGACCCACAGCACAGGAGTGCACTGGAGGCGAACCAAATTTAACAGGCGTCGGTCAGAAAACAGCACAAAGTTAGGGTGTCCTGGACGATAATTGCCTTAATGCAAGTATGATATTCAACTGTTCTCACAAAACTTTTGAATGACACAAGTACTTGAAGAAATTGTCAATTGAAATCAGCTGTAGCATACTAACCATATGGTTTTGGAAGAGATCCCATCATGCCCATCTTTTCAATCAGGAACTGGATAAGGAATCCGCCATAGTAAAGACAATAAAGGAGACATGGGATCATAGGCAGCACATACGCAACCAACGGCCTGTACATTATTGGTCTCAATCAAAGATATTCAAGCCAGATCTTGAAGTAAACATATTGTCATGGTTGGATTTGGTGTTAGTATAGGGATTCTGTTTGAAAATTTTACAGTATAGGATGATAGGAGACAGAAATTTTCATGTAAAATCATCAACTCTGATCATAACAAGGGGACAAAATTAACATTAAAAAAGTATAAGAGCATGAAATATCTGAAATTTGATATAGAACAAATAAGAGGTCAAAAAATGGAATGTGCAACGAATGTTACCATTTTTTCCATATCAAGTGAATATCTAACTCAAAGTGTCCATATACTGAAATACTGAATCAAGATAAACCTCAGAGTGCAGGTATTATGACATATTCAAGTGAGCAACCAAAATATAGATTTGCATTGAAGTGAAGAAACAATTGTGTTTGACTGAATCACATTGATAACATGGAAAATAGTTGAAGGAGAATCAATAAGAACAGTAGAATTTGCTCACCTAGGTGATTGTTGGCTCCACTGCTTCCTATTGATGCTAGAGACAAATCGCCCAAGAAGCATGGACATGGAAATGAAAAATGTTAGAAAACCTCCACTCAGCCCAGCTAGCGTGAAGGCCTGCATAAAATGAATAGACCAAGCATGAATTATGATCATACAAATTATTAGTTGAAAATAATACAATGAAATACAAGGTAACTTCAGGTCCATATGAAGATAAAACCATTTCCTCAGAAAAATGTATAGATGTGCTTATAATGTTCACATCTATATGCATGTGAAATGTGACTATAACATGATTTGACTAATATAACTTCAAACATTTATTCTTTCTTTATTTTTTTTTATTTTTGCGATTTGCTAATCAGTGTGCATACATATGGAACAAAATTACCATATACAGTACAGGAAGCAAAATGTTTACTATCAGAAAGAGCCTTGTCACTTGTCAGTCATCTTTTCACTGCCCCTCTCCACCAAATAAATTCGAAAAGGAAAAGCACTAAAAAATAGCTATTCACTAGTTCATATCTAATAATCTGTCCTTTTTCTCTCCCCTTGCTAAAATAAACCAGAAAAAAAAATCCCAAAATAAACTCTCACAAATCACCTCCCAAGATCGAAATCCGCATCATAAATTATGTAACCAGAATCAATGTTTTATCTAGATAATAATGACTAGTAAGATCCTGAGTAGTACACGCAAAAGTGCCATCACAAGTGCAACGGGCAATAGTAAAGCAATCATTTCAACCTGCTCATGGTCTCTAAAATATAACTATAGCCTATTGTAATATCTATAAAAGCTACTAAGTGTGTATAATTTTACTGTTGTACTTCTCAATATGAATGGCTATTTTGGCCTAACTCTTCTTCACTTAATGCAATGATATGCAGTCCTCCTGCATATTCGAGAAAAAACTTCACAATATGAATCTGCATACATCATTTTTCACATGTTCAATGTCAGCATTCATAGAGATATCAAGAATAACAAAAAAATTTAAGGACACCTATCCATAAACTAAAATATTTTTGCAACTGGATGAGTGGAGGAGAAGTATATTGGTACCGATCTACAAGAATAAAGGGGATATTCAAAGTTATACTAATTATCGGGGAATTAAGTTGATGAGCCATACTATGAAGCTATGGGAGAGAGTTATCGAGCATCGCTTGAGAGCAATAACGCGGGTCTCTGTGAACCAATTTGGTTTCATGCCCAGAAGGTCAACCATGGAAGCCATTTTCTTAATAAGACAAGTTATGAAGCGGTATAGGGAGAAGAAGAATGACCTACACATGGTTTTTATTGACTTGGAGAAGGCTTATAATAAAATACCAAGGAATGTTATGTGGTGGGCTTTGGACAAACATAAAGTCCCAACGAAGTACGTCGGGCTCATTAAGGACATGTACAACAATGTTGTGACTAGAGTTCGAACAAGTGATCGAGACACGGATGACTTCCCGATTAGGATAGGACTACATCAAGGGTCAGCTTTGAGCCCTTATTTGTTTGCTTTAGTGATGGATGAGGTCACAAGGGACATACAAGGGGACATCCCTTGGTGTATGCTTTTCGCGGACGATGTAGTGCTAGTTGATGAAAGCCGGACATGAGTGAATCAGAAACTGGAGTTATGACGGGAGACTTTGGAGTCCAAAGGTTTTAGACTCAGCAGAACTAAAACTGAGTATATAAGATGTGACTTCGGCACTACTACTCGGGAGGAGGAAGATGTTAGTTTGGAAGGTCAAGTAGTGCCTAGGAAGGATACCTTTCGATATTTAGGATCAATGCTACAGAAGGACGGGGACATTGATGAAGATGTTAGCCATAGAATCAAAGCAGGGTAGATGAAGTGGCGGCAAGCGTCTGGTGTCCTATGTGACAAAAGGGTACCACAGAAGCTAAAAGGCAAGTTTTATAGGACGGCGATTAGACCTGCTATGTTGTATGGTGCAGAATGTTGGCCTACGAAAAGACGACATGTTCAACAGCTAAGTGTCGCGGAAATGCGTATGTTGCGTTGGATTTGCGGTCATACAAGAAGGGATCGAGTTCGGAACGATGATATACGTGATAGATTAGGGGTAGCGCCAATTGAAGAAAAGCTTGTCCAACACCGGTTGAGATGGTTTGGACATGTGCAACGGAGACCCCAGAGGCACCGGTGCGTAGTGAAATCCTAAGCCAGGATAGTAACGTGAAGAGAGGCGGAGGAAGACCGAAGTTGACTTGGGTAGAGGCAATAAAAGGAGACTTGAAAGGATGGAATATACCCAAAGACTTAGCCTTAGATAGGAGTACTTGGAAGACAGCTATTCACGTGCCTGAACCTTGATTGCTTCTGATGGGTTTCAACTCTAGCCTACCCCAACTTGTTTGGGACTTAAAGGCTTTGTTGTTGTTGTTGTTCTTGATGCAGCTTAAGGTTAAACTAGTCAATAGTTGATGCAGTTCTGATGTGTTGTGATGTGTCAATATAACAGGGGCTTAAAAATGTTGAAAATCTTACCATAGTTATTAAAGAACACAACCCAAAAGCACCCCAAAAGTGTGCTTGCTCCGATAGGCCCTAGAGTTTAATACAAAAAAATTGATTAGAAGGAACAAACTATATTCAGTTAAACAGCAGCTTCACAACCAACAGATGGAAACTACATGCGAAATGTTTTATCCATAAGACAGATTATGTGGATTTCAGGATGCCATCAAATCTTTTGTCTGCAGAAGAACTTATATACACATAAGAATTCTGGAGCAGTAGGGCAGGAAAAAACAAACTTTCTAAACATGGTCATCCTGTGCACGAGTAGTCTAGATTACTACTACATCCATTTCAAGATATATGGCCTATGACTATTGCAATATTGCTCGTATTCATATATTCATATGCATGGCTGAACAAAGGTTAAATGGCCTTTTCTTGCACTACTAGATAAAATTACGCCAAGAAAGCAAAAGGCCCTGCGGCACCCCCGTCGGGCGGCTCGGGAGGATCCTAGCGACCGCCGCCGCACCTCCCCTCCCAGTCTCCCCCACCCTCGCTGCCTCCACAGCGTTGAGGTCGACCTTCTTCTTCTCTGAAGAAGCCTTGCCGCGGCGCTTGCCGTCGTTGCCGCCCTTGGAGGAGCCTTCCCAGACTTCTCCTTCATCCGGGCCGCCCACTCCTCCTCCGTCAGCAATAGCTTGCCGCTATCCGCCATCGCCGTGGCCTGCTCCATGCACTCGTCCACCGCCCGCAGACGGCCGGTCACATCCTCAATGGTGAGGGTGGACTGGATAGGTCTAGCATCGTCTCTATAGAGAGAGCGATCTGGATATACTTCACCGGCACGGAGTGGAGGTACTTGGAGACCGCTTCCTCTTCGTTGATGGTGACGCCGTGGCTCCCCAGCTTGTTGATGAGCGACTGCTGGCGGAGGGATAAGTCCTCCACCGATTCTCCACCGCGGAACTTGAGGTTGGCGTACTCCTGCTTCAGCAGCTGGGCCGTCGCCGCCTTTGCGCGGTCGGAACCGACGCGCATCGCCTCAATGGCCTCCCACGCCTCCTTAGCAGTCTTCTTCGCCCCCAACGGCTCCCTGTACTCCGCCGGCACGGCAGTGAGGATAGCCTCCATCGCTGACATGTCGTCTTCTTCGTTGTCGGTGCCCTTGTCAGCGGCATTCCAGAGCCGTCGGGCTCTGAGCTTGACCTTCATGGTCACCGCCCGCTCGCCATAGGTGGTGCGAGTCAGCGTCGGCCAACTGGTGCCGCTGACCTCCCGCACCGTGCGCACAACGACCTCCTGTAGTGGTTGGGCAGCCCCAGCAGCACCGCTGCTGTCGCCCGTTTCTGAGCCATGTTCACCAGCCATCGCCGGCGGTTAGTCCGGCGACGCAGGTGTACGGTTCTGATACCACTTGTTGGTCCCTAGCTGCCCTGCACAGGTAAGCAATAAGCTTACCAGCACACTCACTCACTATGGCTAGAGGTAGAAGAAGAGATTGAGCTCAAGAACACACACACAGCACAAGCCCAGCCATAGTGAGTGAGTGTGGCTAAGTACAGCCCCAACTACTCCTAGTACTAGCAGTACAAAGCTTAGATCAGCCCACTACCAAGACATGGCTGATGTAATAGCTACCAACTAATGTACTAGAGGTGGCCTATTGCCATACTGCTACAGCAGCAGAGACTGGATAGCCGAGCTGACCAAATGTCAACTCTGCTACAGCGAGAGAGAGATCAGCAGCAGATTATGTCTTACAATTCTTCCCCTAATCCTGCTGCTAATCCTGAACCTTTACCTCATCCATGCCAATCATCTTTCTCAGCTCCATGAACCGCAGGCGCCCAAGTGACTTGGTGAGGATGTTAGCGAGCTGTCTGCCGGTCTCGACGAACTCGATGACGATCTGTCCTCCATCGACGCAGTCCCGGAGGAAGTGGAACTTGATGTAGATGTGCTTGCTCCGGTCATCGAGGACAGGGTTCTTGGCGAGGGCGATGGTGGGCTAATTGTCCACCATCAGAGCTGGCGGGTGAGCTTCCTCGTCGGTCAGCTCGCCCAGCAGCGAGCGCAGCCAAACAGCCTGGCACGCCGCCGTGGCTGCTGCGACATACTACGCCTCACATGTCGACAGCACCACGATCTTTTGCTTCAGCGACTGCCAAGCAATAGGGGCCGCTCCAAGGAAGACGAGCACGCCAGAGGTGCTCCGTCGCCCATCGATGTCGACCGCAATGTCTGCATCGCTGAAGACAGTGAGCTCAGGCTCACCTTCCTCTGTTTTGGGGGGTGCCTCACTGAAGACCGTGCGGCGCAGCCCACCCTTTCCGCCGTGCTTGGGAAAGATGATCGCTTGATCGAACGTCCCCTTGACGTAGCGCAGCAGCCTCTTCACTATCGTCCAATGATCCTCCCGTGGGTCCTCCATGAACCGGCTAATGTACCCGACCGCGAACGCGCGTCCGGCCGAGTATGCGTGAGGTAGCGTAGCCCGCCGACGATGCTCCGGTAGCGTGTCGCGTCCACCTTCGCCGCCGTGCTATGCTTGGACAGCTTCGGCCGCTCTTCCATTGGAGTCGCGCACGGCTTGCACTCCGCCATGCCGCCGCGCTCTAGCAGTTTCTCCGTGTAGGCGCGCTGGCCCAGGGAGATACTCTGCTTCCCCTGCCTCACCTCGATGCCGAGGTAGTAGGAAAGCGCGCCAAGATCGCTCATCTTGAAACGAGTCATCTCGCGCTTGAAACCGTCGATGTCCTCTGCTCGCGCTCCGGTGACGATCAAATCGTCCACGTACACACCGACGACGAGCTCCTCCTTCCCCCATCGCCGCGTGTAGAGCGCGTGCTCCGTGGTGCAGCAAGTGAACCCGAGCTTGCCCAGAGTGGCGTCAAGCTTGGCGTTCCATGCCCGCGGGACCTGCCTGAGCCCATAGAGCGCCTTGCGCAGCCTGAGCACCTTGTGCTCTGCCCCCTTGACGGCGAAGCCCGGAGCTTGCTTGACAAAGACCGTCTCCGCGAGCTCGCCGTTGAGGAACGCTGACTTGACATCGAGGTGGTGGACACGCCAATCCTTTGCCGCTGCCATGGCCAGCAGCAGGCGGACGGATTCCATGCGCGCCACAGGAGCAAAGATGTTATGGTGGCTATGGTTGCAAGGAAGAGAGGAGGCCGACTGGGGGCCTTGCCCACGGCCAAGCAAGAGAGAAGGCTCTTCCTTCCAATTCTTGCTTGATTCATTCCACCGCAGATTACATATCTTTATTTCCCTAACCACTCAAACTCAGTCTAGATCCTAAGAATAGGCAACACCTAACTCCTTCCCGCATGCTGCCCAGTCTTCCACCGCATGCCTGTGCCTCTAACACTACACCCCTCATGGACAAGCAGCTCGTCCTCGAGCTGCAACCTAACCAACTTATAACGATAACGCGAGACTCGACATAAACCTAACACCTAAAAATAAGCCTTTTACATCTCGGCTCATTTTATTATTATCAACCGAAAATAGATGTGGACTCTCTTTATTTTTCCGGGATCTTCAATTGAAGGTGGACACCATCCAAATGAAATAGCTGCACACATAAAGCCACCTGGATCCCATGGCATAGTCCGCACCACACAGAGAAGAGAGAAGGGCCTCCGATGGAGAACGGCGAGGAGGGGTGCGCCTCCCCAACCGCCAACGCAGACTCTGAGGAGTTTGCCATTCGCAAGGGAAACAGCATGCCCGCCGCCCGCGGGGGGAAACAACATGCACACCGCCCACAAGGGAAACCGCATGCCCAAGATCCCCGACGCAGTGGACGAGATTGAGGTCCTCTGCACGGCAAAGTGCAACTAGGAGGAGCTGCGAAGGGGTGCGGGGCTGAATCAGCTGCAGATTACGCATCTCCCACACCTGCCGATGCACTAGGAGGCCGCGCGCAATAGCCTGCAGCCGCACCGCTGCCGAGACTTGGCGGGCACTCTCCCGCGCAATCTCCTTCATCTTCTCTATCTGCTGCAACGCTGCTGCTGCAGCAGCTAGCCGATCTACAGGGATGAAACGGCGCCGCCGCTTGAAGATGGTGCGCTGTCCATGACGCATGAAGGATCGACATGAAGCAGGCAATCGAAGTTGGGACAGACCTGCAGCGCAATCTGGCATAGAGACGGCTGTCGTCCCATAGCCCAGCAAGCCGTAGGGGAACACCGGCGGCATGGTGGTGGTGGTCGCCGACGATCGAGATTCCAGGGCCTCTAGGCGCGCCCAGAGAGACACCACCTGCTGGGAGAGGTCGGCCACTGACTTGGCAATGGGATCCAGCGGCGACGTCGGTGGCACGGTCGACTGCTTGTCACCCTCATCGAAACCTGGCATCTCTGATACCAGATGTTATGGTGGCTATGGTTGTGAGGAAGAGAGGGGGCCGGCCAGGGGCCTTGCCCACGGCCAAGCAAGAGAGAAGGCTCTTCCTTCCAATTCTTGCTTGATTCATTCCACCGCAGATTACATATATTTATCTCCCTAACAACTCAAACTCAGCCACTCAAACTCAGTCTAGATCCTAAGAATAGGCAACACCTAACTCATTCCTGCATGCCGCCCAGTCTTCCACCGCATGTCTATGCCTCTAACACTCCTTCCTGCATGCTGCCCAGTCTTCCACCGCATGCATGTGCCTCTAACACTCCTTCCTGCATGCTGCCCAGTCTTCCACCGCATGCCTGTGCCTCTAACAAAAGACCTCCTCGAAGTCGATGCCCTCGCGTTGGACGAAGTCGCGGTCAACAAGCGGTGCCTTGTACTTGACGATGGCGCCGCGCTCGTCCCGCTTCACCTTGTAGATCCATTTGAGCCTCATGTCACATTGTCCTCGATCGCCTTCATCTCCTCCAGCATCGCCCGCCGCCAATTTGCGTCGCGCTCAGCCACCGCGAACGTGGGCACCTCCTCCGCACTGACGAGAAGCAGCTCTGGTTCGTCGAGGATGCGAGTGGCCAACCCAGGTGTGCTCCCCCGTCGCCGACGAAGTTGTCCACCCGGCGGAAAGCACCTCCTCGCCGTCGTGGAAAGCGTCCATGTACTCGTCGATGTCAGTGGGCAGGGAAGTGAACTCGAGCGGAGGTGTCCCCGTCCAGCCGAAGCAGGGGACTGTGGTGGAGGCAAGTGCGCCGCTGTCGGTGGAGACTGCTCGCCTGCGCCTGGCTCGTCGAGGTCGACTGCTCCGCGATCGCCGCCACCTCTGCTTCGACGTCGTGCAGTGCATAGAATGACGCCATCAGGAGAGTGGCCTCATCATCATCATCAGCCTGCGCCAAATGTGCCTCGGCCTTCTTCTCCTGCTTGCGGTTTGGGCACTCCTTTGCCCAGTGACCTGTCCTCCCGCAGCGCCAACAGGCGTTGGGGTCGACCTTCTTCTCTGAAGAAGCCTTGCCGCGGCGCTTGCCGTCGCCGCCGCCCTTGGAGGAGCCTTAACCAGACTTCTTCTCCTTCATCCAGGCCGCCCACTCCTCCGTCAGCAATAGCTTGCCGCTATCCGCCATCGCCGTGGCCTGCTCCATGCACTCGTCCACCGCCTGCAGACGGCTGGTCACATCCACAATGGTGAGGGTGGACAGATCCAGCATCGTCTCTATGGAGAGAAAGATCTGGATGTACTTCACCGGCACGGAGTGGAGGTACATGGAGACCGCTTCCTCTTCATTGATGGTGACGCCGTGGCTCCCCAGCTTGCTGATGAGCGACTGCAGGCGGAGGGAGAAGTCCTCCACCGATTCTCGATCGCGAAACTTGAGGTTGGCGTACTCTTGCTTCAGCAGCTGGGCCGTCGCCGCCTTTGCGCGGTCGAAACCGACGCGCATCGCCGCAATGGCCTCCCACGCCTCCTTAGCAGTCTTCTTCGCCCCCAACGGCTCACTGTACTCCGCCGGCACGGCAGCAAGTATAGCCTCCATCGCTGACATGTCGTCTTCTTCGTTGTCGGTGACCTTATCAACGGCATTCCAGAGCCGTCGGGCTCTGAGCTTGACCTTCATGGTCACCGCCCACTCGCCATAGTTGGTGCGAGCCAGCGTCGGCCAACTGGTGCCGCTGACCTCCCGCACCGTGCGCACGACGACCTCCTGTCGCCCGTTTCTGAGCCATGATCACCCACCATCGCCGGCGGTTAGTCTGGCGACGCAGTTGTACGGTTCTGATACCACTTGTTGGTCCCTGGCTGCCCTGCACAGGTAAGCAATAAGCTTACCAGCACACTCACTCAATATGGCTAGAGGTAGAGGAAGAGATTGAGCTCAAGAACACGACCTGGACAAGCCCAAAATACACCGGCCGAAGCTCGCTTCAATGTGGCAAACCCCGACTACCCTTTTGCATTGCCTTAGGTGTGATATATATACAACTCATGTACCAACTATAAGGTACACATGTGTATGGCTGAGTACAGCCCCAACTACTCCTAGTACTACCAGTACAAAGCTTAGATCAGCCCACTACCAAGACATGGCTGATGTAATAGCTACCAACTAATATACTAGAGGTGGCCTATTGCCATACTGCTACAGCAGCAGAGACTGGACAGCCGAGCTGACCAAATACCACCTCTGCTGCAGCAAAAGAGAAAGAGATCAGCAGTAGATTATGTCTTACATTTCCTTGGAGGTTGGGGCTGGTTGTGAGTAGGTGGCAACGTGTTATGAGCTTTGGCTGATGTTCGTCATGGGAAGTCGGAGCTGCTTATTGCTGTTGTGAAGTTATGATAAGCTCGGCAACGATGACATGTGGTGTGCCCCGACAGTGTGTGTTACCTTTGTGTGTTAGTGGGTTACTTAGGGTTAGTCGTCCGGGTTGTCGTGTTTAGCTTTTTCACCAGTTTTCCATGAAGAAAATGTGCGACTGTAATTCCTTCATAAATTGGGTCAATTCTATTTCCTCTTAATTGAAAAGCAAAGCTCCTGCCATTGCAATAAAAAAATGGCCTTTTCTTCCTTATGCACTCACTTTATTTTACATCTCTTCAATATTTGTGTATCTATATCCGTAATCACCCATAATAATCATTCATTCTCATTAACGAAGTACTATGGTTGATTCTCCTTACCATTTCATTGGTTTCTTGACCAAAATGGTCCTATAAAAGAAAATGAATGGAACAGTACAGTATGTGGTGAGGGCAGACTGGTCAAAAGCAAAAGCATCCAATCAGTAAATCCTTTCCTTATTTCTCTGGGCGCAAAATAATCTAATTCAGAAATAGATGATCATGTAAGTAAATTACTATTTGTAACATCAACTGCTAATACAAAGAAACATCATCATATACTTTTCATTGTATTCTTTTTTCAACAAGAGAAGTGACCAGATATATACACACAGGCACAGACATACCCAAAAAAAACAACAGAAAGGGTACCACAAAGTAGTGATAAGGAAAATACCCATGTAACCCTCGGCAGCAATAGACCAATCAATGAAGTAGGGACAAACATAAGGAACACCAAATAAGGGTGAGCAAACCTGCACCCATGAAATAAACATGCAATACGATAAAATTTGATTGGTAATAGTTTTAAGTAAAATTACAAAATACAGAAACTGTTCGTTTCATAGGTTTTCAGATACATACATAAAGAGATGACACATAGGTGACATGTGTAAAAATAAGAACAAAATCATGTGACAACTGAGCTCATTCTCTGAACTACACAAGTGGCTCAGGATTCAAAAAGGAGATATGAAACATTACTGCAACAACTGTTCATGACTAGTTCATACATAGATTCATTGCATACTCTTGCAAGCAAGTGAAATAACATTGTAAAGACAAGATAGTGCGATATGGATCAGTGTGAACGATCACTGCAAAGTGCAAACTCATACTATTTAGACTTGTAGATCTAAATGCATATCTTATTGGGCGCAACGGATAACATGTTAAAGAGGGGAATGAGAATGTCCAAAAGATGAATAGATATGACATATGAGGGGCTGGATATACAAATCTAGAAGCAATACTGTCACAACTGGGTAGAGGGTGGACTCAGACACTTTGATTTGCTTTCAATTTCCTAGAAGAGCACTGAAACAGCGACACTAAAACTTATAGGAAAATAAATAATTACCAATTCATTGCATTCTTCGTGAATAACAATCTTAATGCTGCAGCCACAGCAGGAATAAATATTGCAAGGATGACACCAAACGCATGGAGTAACATTCCTGCAACCATATGTGAGAAGCATTATAGTTGGCCAGCAGAATATATTGTAATACATGATTGATTAGCACTAATGCTAGAATCTTCTAATCAGATTAACGTTGCCAAAATATGGGGACTGCAATGTCCATAAATCTTTTTCCTCAGATAAGCAGTTCTCATAAACTTCACAAAATTGCAAAAACAGTAAAGCACAATCAAGAACTCAAAAGACATCGCAAGATTAGCTTCATAAACTTCACGAAATTGCAAAAGCACAATCAAGCACTAATGCCACTATCAAAAAGTTGTGATTTTATCGAAGCAACATTCAAATGTCTAACCAAAAGCCAAATTCACCGTTTATATGTTCTAAAAACCTCATTGTAATGTTGCTAAGCCCCTTTTGGTTAGGGACTAGACAAAACTATAAATAAAATTAGTTAAATTAAACTTCACAAAATTATTCTAAAAAAATTTTAAAAAATTTCTCGTCACTTAAGTTTCTTGTAGTTCAGATATATATACGTCAAACAGTATTGTTTTATTACATGTAAAATTTAAAAGTAACTGCAATACATTGCAAGTAATTATGCATGAACCATTTTGTGTCCAACCAAACTTATCCTCTACTCCCTTCTAATTAAAAAGGGCGTACCCAGTGCAGAGAGCTCCCGCTCTGTGCGGGTTCTGGGGAAGGGTGTTAGTGGCAAGCCTTACCCTCGCCTGTGCAATGCGAGGAGACCGTGACTCGAACCCGGGACCTTCCGGTCACAGGCGGTAAGACTCTACCGCTTGCACCAGGCCCGCCCTTCTAATTCCTTATAAAAATTCTTCCCTCATACAAAAAATTTAGAACCACCAATATGATATCATTTTCAATGTACATTCCACATTTCATCACTTTACCTCTCATGAAACCTAGAAGAGTTACAAACCATGACATCAAGGTAATGTTTGGGAACTTCAGGAACAGCGGTACAAGAAGAAAAATGGCTACCGGTAGACTGTGAAGAATCAGAGAGATATCACGAGAATAAAACACCTGTGTGTAGGAATGAAGAATATTAAAATTAATCACAATTCACAAGCAATGACAAATGCATATGAAAAGTGAGAAAAGTATACATTGTTCAGAACCAATGCTCATATCCAATTAGTGTTATCCTGCAAATTTGCAAGAATGCAGAGTAACTTACCATGAACCAAGTCAAATAATCAAAAAAGACTGCACGCAAATCTTCAATTCCATCCTTAGCAGCTTTATTAGGTATCTCATTCTCTTTTAACAACATAGAATTTGTGAATGCCTTCACAAGGTTGAATAAATTTTCACCACGAGCTTGAATACTTCCAGGGCTAGTACAGAAATGATAATTCTTCAATTATATTACTTCATATAAAATATTAGAAAATGTCCTCTAGTTTAATACATACAGTAGATTCTCCAACGTATCATATGAAGTATGATAGAAATAACCACCGAGAACAAAAATAATATCAAGTCCTGGAATGTTCGTAATGTCTTCAGCAAATATCCTATAATCTGTATCACCTGGGATTATTCCAAACATATCCTGCATATAGGGAATACAATCCAAAAATATCAGCTGGATTGCACAGAAGTAATAACCTTAGATGACACTGGCTGCAATATGCATTGAAGATCAACTCAAAGGATGGACCAAGCATCAGAAACGAGCATCTTAACAATTTTGATAAGTATTCATGTAGACGTTAACTGAGAAAAAATTGAGCTTAAGCTTATTTAGAAGTATATAAGATGCAGACCAGTGAGGCAGAAATAATTGCCTAATTGCAATAAAAATGTCTTTCCACACAATAGATGTTGGACGGCTTGCAGGCTTGCACAGAGGGCTGCCACATCCAAGTCGCAGCCCTTTATGCGACCAGGAAGATGAGAACATTCAACATATCTTGTTAGGTTGTGCTTTTTCCAGGCAGGTCTGGTTCTCCATTCTCCGGTGATATGGCTTCCACTCTGGATGTCAGACTCTCCACGACCAATCGTCATCGCCTATAGGCATGATTTGGCAAAGTTTATGCCTCGAGCGGCCTGAGGTAGGTGCCGCACGAGCAAATCGGAGGGGGATTGGGCATGAGCGCAGCGACAGTAGTTGCACGCGTGAAAGAAGTGAATCAAAGGGAGATTGAGCATGAGCGCGGACGTGGGAGTTGCGCGCACGAAAAAATTACCGCACGATGATGCATGGGAGATTTGCGCGCAAAGGAGACTGATGGGAGTTGCGCCGGTGGGAAATCACAGGCCTACAGCTCCCGCAAGGCCCTAAGCCATCTCTCCAGTGTGTGCCAATTAACGAAGCGGGGAAACGGAAGAGGCGTGCAACTGGTTCTTCTCGGCACGCCGCCGCTGGTGGAATCCAGCCTTTCCGCCTCTTTTTCTCCATCAACTAACCCCTCTGTTGATTCAACCCTTGCTTTTCTTGTTATAAAAAAAAACCTTGCTTTTCTCCACCAATTTGTGCCTCCTCTAGTCCTCCCTCCCTCTTCTCAGCTGATTAGTGCCTTGGATTCACAGCTCCTACTGCTGCTCCATCAGTTCCAGTCTCCGTCAGCTCGGCATTGCAACCTCACGGGACAGCTACGTGTGACTGTGAGCATCTGTTCCTCTCCCTCCGGCTTCTCTCCTCTTGGATGTGTAATGCCTCTGCTCTTTTTTTTTGTATATGATCTGTAGTCTGCAGGTCTGTATTATGCAGTTTGCACTGCTAATTGTGTTTCTGGGTGGATATTAGACTGCTAGGTGCTCAAAGCTTGTGCTTGTGGTCTGATGTTGTATAGAAAGATGCTTTGTGTGAATGTGTGCTCTAGTCTCCATAACTTAATTTAGTTTATTCATCTGTGTCCTCAACTACAGTTAATGATTTGTGCCTTTGTGATTTGTTTATTACTAGTGCCAGGGTTCTCTACTACTCTGCTTTTGCTTGTTGATCATTATGAAACTGGCTCTTACATGGGCTGTACTGCTATCTGCTAATAAACAGATGTTGGTTAGGAGTTAGGACACGTGTATGACGTTGCCTCACCGCGCACATCTTAAATGCCTAGTCCCTTACCGCTTTAATGACCATGGTTTTGAGAAAAAAAAGGCACATTAGAATATGCAATTTGGGATCACTCCCCGCCCCCCCCCCTTATGCACTCGCATTTTAGTTGGTGACCTTGCAATTTGGTGCTCCTATTGAACTGTGGTTGCTAACTCAGCCTTGCTGGTTACTGACATGCTCACCACCAAGCTATCGTGTCTGCTGCCACTCCAACAAAGATTATTGTGATAAGCTATTACAAATACAGCTCTGACAACCTATAAATGCTTGTAAACCCCAACGAAGTCAATGACCCCGTGTGCCCAGGTCAGGGTCAACTTTCCCGGGTCGAGGGTCAATGCCTTTGACCCTGTTTTATGTGACTATGGCCCACACTCATTCCACATGCAGACATACAAAAGTATATCAACTCTTCCGCAACTTACATAAGTAATTATGTTGAGTAAACAAGGTAAGGAGCAAGAACCTGAGCAACACTATTTGCCATAGGGTACTTTGCAGTCTGAGCATAAATACGAGAAGGCCACGATCCAGGTCCAGATTGACAAACTAAATCTGGTGAGGAAAAAGACAAATTGCTAGGATCAAACTGAAATTTGAGATCAGCAAAGTAGTCTTAACAAAACCAAAATCATTAATAGTTTTATTATTTCTTATCGAGCAATACCAGAAACTGTTTAGATCTTAATCATAAGTCATAAATCACGACAAGAAGTTTGAATAAATAAAAAAGAGCTAATTCATATTTTTCACTGAAAATCTTAACTTTTACCATAATGATCAACATAATAAAAGGTTAGCTACAATTTGGTAACAAAGTTTGTTTTAAACTTGATCTGTAAAAGTAGTACAACAGATGGTGAGTTGTGCTGCTTAGGTAGGTATTGAAGCAGACTGACCTACGTGACTATTGACTATAGGGCGTGCTCGCTTCTGCTGGCTGCGGCTGCAGCAGCTGTAAGACACAGCTGCACATGAATTTTACTGTAGTTGTTTTCTTGCGGTTGCTGCTGCCGCAGCTGCAGCCAGCACAGCCAATCAGGCTGAAAAGAGGCAGCACCCTTATGGCTGTGAAAAAACGAAGCTGAAGCTATATGATATAGGAAATGTTGAAGCCTGTTTATTGTGTGTAATAGTTAATAGCACGGTTGTATTGCTTGGTTGAGAAGATCAAGTGAGTTGTTGTAAGCTTGTAGTGTGAAGCTATAAGATTAATAAAGAACAAAGTTGTGTTACTAGCTACTTGTGTTATCTTTCATACAATTAGTATTCAAGCTAAAGAGAGGAATTGAGTGAATTGATTCTAACAGAGGAATAGAGTGATTCTGTTTCCAATAAAGGTTTCTTGTATACAAGACAATGCACAAGAACTAATAAATATTCAATAAAAAATACCTGCCCATACTTTAATGCAAGGGTTTTTAACATCCTGGACTTGCCAATCTAAACTAGAAGACTCAAATGTTTGATAAGTCTAACTGGTGGGCCTTTTGAATCTATAGAAGCTGCATGAAAGAAATAACCAGCAATTCCACTGAAAGCAGAAATAAAAATCTAGAGACACACATGACAACTTAACCACCGATGAACAAGTAACATCGGACAAAATTCAACCCTTATTGCAAGAAGAGACATATCTGCACTTCAGCTTCTCAATCAGAATATTTCATACCTTTTTTTCTGATGAGAGTATATCTAGTGAAACTAATATATGCTATAAAAGTTACTTACTGAGAATGATAATTTCTAGGTAAATCATTCGTCAGATGGAATATGAAGAAGATAACATGGATACATTAAGAACTATCAAAATAAGATTTGAGATTGGTCTTGAACTCGTGTTGCCTTGAGTAGCACAAAACACATAATAAATAAGTACAAAATGATACCTGTACCCCCACTTCCAGAAGCTTCAATATTGATGAAAGCACTGATTGTCCTGTTCCATCTATGTGTCTTGATAAAACCATGTGAGCCCTGGTTAAAAAGCATGCACAGGAACAAATCAACACAAAATTTGCATATTTCTTTTAGATTACAATACTCTGTTGATTCTTTAAAAAAATATTCCATAAGAAAATTTGTTTTGAGGACTTCAGTGTTTTTTTATAGTGACAGATTTCCAGGATGGACAACCCTACAACTATTTTCACCAAGAAAATGAAAAATTTTGAAATCTCTCAAAGGTAACTCATCCCATCTGATAAGATCAAATGGTATCCAGCCCTTCGAACACAATTAGCTCAGATTAAATTCAAGCAGAGACAACCAAAATGGACCTTCATTATACATCCCAGCACAACCATTATCATTTTTTATATATGCATTTGCATTTTATAAATGTGAAAAGTGGTCAACCAGCTAGGTAACATACCAAAAGAAAAAGTTCCTCTGCACCATTGAAAAGGAAAATCACCGGTCGTGGAGGGACCCACCCAGAGTCAATGATGAGTCGTGATAGCTCAAGCATAGATGCTGGACAGGAAATACTCCATAAGATACAGTCTCATAGAAGTCTGCATAGTAAGAATAAGAACTGTTCTTACAAAAAATAAAAAAAGAAAGAAAGAGAAAAAGAGTACTTACCAACACAAGAACCACAGTCTGCTGCACCAGGAGATCCAAGCGGACTGTCAAAATGACCATTAGGATGGATCATCATCTTCTGAAACATTTGATGAAATCCTGTAATTAATTGTTATATCTTAGAAAATAATTTGTTTAAATTACTCTTTAAAAGGATACAAGAGAGGCACACTAATATCCCTATGCCCAACCATAGATAAAGTGGCCCTGTTGATGGATTCTAACCTAAATTGGATGATTACAAGAGTTGGGCCTCATAAGCCATGGGCGATGTAATTTAAAATAAGGTAGGTCAATATACTAGCTTATGACTCTGCTTCACCCTTTCACTGTCTTGATAGAAAACTTGTAGTTACTAGTACTTATTATGCATCTAGGTAGCTGATGTCAATGGTTCGACTCCTACCATATGCTGTATGCAATCAAAAACTATTTCCACTGCTGCTTCTGAAAAGAGCTAATAAGTGAACCAGACCAGATGTAGTTACCAGTTTTCGTCAGTATGCTTGAAGAAGATAAGATTGTAGAGGCAACACATAACATGATGCTCAAGAAACACTATATGTTAGATACATGCTTACAGATACATAACACAAATAAATTATACAATGGATAGGAATTAACATACAGTGAAGCTAATGTTGTCATGGTAGGAACTATCAACCTATGGTAGTTTCAATAGTTTCTTAGAAATAATCACCTATTGCATGGGCTTGCAATTCAGATGAAAAAATAATTTATTAGAGCAAACTCATGTGTGTACCTCATGACAATATTTTTATGATTCCTGTAGCCTAGTGTTACTCTATGACGCAGAAACATCATGCTGAAAGAGCCACTAACAAGTGTTTCCTCAACCTCTATTCTGCAAGGGGAAACAAAAAATGAAATCAATACAAACCTCTATTCTGCAAGGGGAACCGAAAAGTGAAGTCAGTAACCACCTCTATTCTTTCAGACGAAACAAAAAGTGAAGTCAATGACAGATGACAAATAGAAAAAGAAACCGAATACTAAAATTTGTCCATTCAGGTAATGCACCAGAACTTTCTAATTTCTCCATGGTTCATAGTAAAGACTAGCAAAAGATGTACATAAGAACCACTGAATGAACGCAAGAAAAATAGAAGAGCTGTTCAAATCAGTTGTTGTTACCTGCAGCCTGGGTGTTGCAATCCTTAAATGAGATAATGGTAGACATTCCCAAATTTGTAAATAAAAACTCAACAAAATTTTACTGGCATACTTGGACTCCACAAGCTAAGGATCATTTGTTTCCCAATGCCCAGACTAATTACCCTTGACCTACCAAAAACTGAGACACAAGGCATTCATTCCAACGATAGATGCGTAAAAAGAAAAGAATCCTGGAAAGTACCACTTTGATTACAGTACCTTAGGCATTATTGGACCCAGTACTGTAGTTTAAGTTTCAGCTATCTCAAGCCAAGGTATAAACCACTGCAAAAACCTAGTGTAACTAGCAATCCAATGCTACGCAGATGGCAGGGTCTGCTAGGCTTGGTAATATTGGTGAAGCGAGGGGCTTGAAATGCTAATTTCGAGCTACCATGGATCTGGCCGTACTTGTTCTGCTTGGAGCCTTGGACCACACTTCCCTGTCCTTTTTGTCCTAAGAAGAATCACTTCAGCATCTTATAGAAACGAATTAAAGTCTGGATACCAGATAGTGCTGTGATTGCTGCAGCTAGCAAAGCATAGAAACCAACACTTTGTCGCATCCCAAGTTTCAATGCTCCAAATAATGTCATACTAGGATAAGTATTCCAGCGAGCACCCAGCGTACAGGACCACAAACCAACGCCCGAGAACAGCAAAACCATCACTATCGTGGAGCCACAATCTTTGGTACCCGGAGGCCAGAGCAGAGCAGGCACTCCAACAAATCTTCACGGTCGACTGTAATCAACCAAGGGCAGAAACAGGCAGGGAAGGGGGACAACGGGAGATTCACCTGTACTCCGGGCCCGCACGCGCGGCGAGAACCTGGAGCTCCCCTTTGATGTACTGCGCGGCGGCCTCCAGCCCTGGGCTCCCCTCCTGCAGCAACAGCAACAGCAACAAATCAGCATCGCCAAGCCACACGAGCGAACGGCGGGGGCCAAGGGTGGGTGGGGGGTGCCGCGGACCTGGCGGCTAGGGATGTCAACGGCGAGGCGGCGGAGGTGCTGGAACACGCGTCCCTCGGAGAAGTTCCCCCGCGGCGCGTCGGCGCCGAGCGGCGCGACGTGGCGCATGTGGATGACGCGGTAGGCGAGGAGCGACATGGCGGCGTAGAGCGCGGCCAGCGCGAGCAGCACGCGCGCGGAGTCCCCGAAACCGGCGGGGCCTCCTCCCGCGGAGCCGGGAGCAGGCCGCCGGCGCGGCGGCGCGCGGGGCGCCATCGGAGGACGGAGGCGGGTCAGCCTCGGCGGCGCCGCCGGCTGTCGTCGCGACGCGAGCGAGCGAGCGAGCGAGGATTCGGAAAGGCGTGGTGCCGTAGGGACCCTCGTGACTCGCTGCTGCGAATGGTCTGCGAATGGAAGGTTTGATTTGGGGGAGGCGGAGGGAGAGGAGCAGCCGTGCGGGGCGTAACTCTGGGCATAATTAACCGAAGACCGAAGACCGAAGACCAAAGACCGAAGACCAAATCGAAAAGACCAACACCGAAAAGTTCGGTCATGAGTTTGGTCCGGGCTCCCAACTAACCGAAGTAACTGATAGAAGTTCGGTCATATGTATCGGTTAACCAAAGTAACCGAACTGACCGTAGTTCTGTAGACTTCGTTCGTAATGTCATTATGTGTGATTGTGATTTATGAGAACTGAGAAAGTTGTGTGCTAGAACTTGTCGTAATAATGTGTGGTTTGTTTTATATATTGTGTTGTTATTTTTTTGCCTTCAAATAGCAAGCATGCTGTTGAAAATTGCTATAGATTCTGCTATTGTTTGTGGCTGCTACTCAGGTCCGGTTAGTTCGGTCGTGACCGAGACCGAACCGAACTAACCGAGACCGAACTTCCTCGGTCTTCGTTTTTTGTAAAGACCAATCGGTCCCAGGTTTCTGATGACCGAACTGACCGAATGACCGAGGAACCGAACCGATCGGTTCGGTCTGACCGAATGCCCAGGGTGAGCGGGGCGGAGCGGAGGTGGGCTCGGGTTGATTCAGAGTTGGTGGGATGACGCCATGATGGACGGGGTGCCGTGGAGGTCTGTGCGAGTGTGACTGCACGGGCCGGAAATTCTTGACCAGAATCCGGCGGCTAGTTTACGTCTGGTTTAGTTGGCGAAATTTTTTGGAAAATAGTACTGTAGTATTTTCGTGGTTATTTGATAATTAGTGTTCAATCATAGTCTAATTAGGCTTAAAATATTCGTCTCGTGAATTTCGTCTAAACTGTGTAATTAGTTTTATTTTTTATTTATATTTAATGCTTCACGCATGCATCAAAGATTCGATGTGATGAAAAATTTTACAAAATTTTGGGAACTAAACACCACCTTGGACGAGGGACCAGCAAGTCGCACCTTCACGTAGTGTGGGTTTGGACGACAGGACGGGATCAGCCGGCTAGGTTGGAGCAAGTTCACATATCACATCAGGATTTCGGATGATTCAGGGCCCGTTCGGTTACGTTGTTTCTGGTCTTTATTGATCAGGAACCGTCCTCGTGCTATAGAAAATACTGAAGAAACGGAAAGTGCAGGAATGGATCTGACCAGAAATTATTGTAGCCGAACGGAGCCTTAAGGGCACGTTCGGATAGCATGGAATATAGTTTAGGAATTGATCCGACCAGAAACACAGCTGTATTTTATACAGGCAAGCAGCAGGAGGGACAGTCCCGGCCAGGATTAAGCCAAAACAAACGAGCCCTAAAGGTGTTATCTGGATCACCGAAAACTAATGTTCGCTCGGCAGTGTCTCGTGTCATTGTTTTCAAAACTTTATCCTATCACTCTTTGTTAATAATATGTCACATCAACTTATTTAATAATAATAAAAGTCTCGTAAAGCCTCCATCGAAATTGTCCTTAGATGAGCAATTGAATAGAAATTATTTTTTATATCTTTCCACCTTCCAATAACTTTTATATACTTTTATTGTTTGGAGAGTCATCTTCGCTCTCTAAAGTTAGCAAGAAATCAGGAATAGAGACTGGCAAAATTTTACGATCTAATTGCACCAAAATCTCTTTCTATCTATACATAAGTTGTTGAATGGTTTTTTCACCAAAATATCTATTCCTATCGATACAGAAGAATATAAAGAGACTATTAAAGTTGCTCTAAATGTCTGTTTACATGCAGCTAATTGTTAGCAGCTATTTATTAGCTTTATATTATCTAAATAGGGGTTAATATGTGGACTAATTTTTCAGCGAAGCCTCCAACTATTTATTAGCCAACTAGCGGGCCAACTCCAATTAAGTTGGGCTAATTTTTAGCACTAGCGAAGAACCAGGTCTAACTACTCGAGGCATGCTCTAAATAAAGTTTAGTACTATAATATTTAGACACATGAACTAGTAGCTATTAGTTCACCTTAGTTTCCCTTTGCCAACTAGTGAAGTATAGTTGTTACTTGGGGTATTGACTAAAAACTCATCACCTATTTGGATGGTCTACAAATAAACTTTAGATGACTGTGATTTAGACTTGATATCCAAACATGCCCTTAAAATATCTGTCATATTTTGAATCGGGATGTTCAGATGCCATGTCTCCTCTCCTCCGTCACTAGGATAGACCATGGCGAGGCATTGACACGAAGGTAGGTGTTGATAATAGAGTGACAATCTAGGCAGACTAATATGTGATTGATGTGGAATACACCGGTGCTTAGTCCATAGGTACACACTAGTGTGAGCAATTTGAGTCATGATGGTGAAGTGGCTTGAATTTGTTGCAATGCTCGACTAGTGTTGTTGAAGGAGCTCATTACATATGAGACATGACATGGTGTCATGTGGCTAGGTGGAGAAGATCAAGAGACATGGCTTTGCTACAATGGACCGAGTTACAAGTGTGAAGGACAAGTTAGAGTCTTTGGAGCGACAGACCACGTGGTGGTGAAGCTTGAGCAAGGACTTGGCGCTAGACGACCAAGACAACAGTGAAGAGCAAGCGAAGTTGCAATCGATGAACCAATAAGGCCACGTGATGACATGAAGTGGATTATATCATTCAAGAGAGATCAAGCCAAGTGTTGATTTGTGTTGATGATCAAGTGGCTTGATAGAGAATGATGGAGGAACTTCATCCTATGGGCAATGATCAATGGTAGCGTGGTTGGTTACACCTATGGATGATCATTGTTCATCATTTGATGAAGATGGAGGTTGGATGCTTGTGTAGCATCACTAACATGGAGATGAAATGGAATACACAAGACAGAGGTATATTCATAGGGCATTTCATTTCACCGGTCTAAGGTTGAGTAAAGAAGTGCTTGACCAGGTTAAGGATAGATGGTCGTACTATTAAGAGGGGCAAACTTATTTGTATATCGGTCATCTAGTGCCACTTGAGCGATCTAACTTTGCATGCATTGCTAGGATCGAGTGGCAGTTGAAAAGAATTTGAAACCTTTATGAAATGATTTGAAAAAGCAAACTCGTGCAAAAGATAATGGTTGTCTAGTGTGACAACACTTTAGAGTTGGCGGATTTTCAAAAGGTTTCAAAGTGGTTCGTTTCTGTTCGTGAAGGAACTCAGAGGTGTGTTTGGTGCACCATCGGATTGTTCCGATGATTGTGTTGAAGGAGGAGTGCGCGGGGAGCTTGGTGAGCTGTTGTCTGTGTCTGGTGGTGGGATCACCACGACCGGTAGTGAGACCACCACGCTTGGTGGTGAGACCGACCCTACCAACAGTGGGGCCACCAGCACCTGCCGCACACTACTGTGCGGGCATCGGATTAAGGATAATTAAATCTGATGCTAACCATCGGACTAATCTGATGTGGATTTGATCTTGTAGTTCAGTGAGTTGCCAATCACTTAAGTCAACGTTGAGGTGATCCCAAGGATCACCACTCCTCTATAAGCTCAACAACTCCTTAAAAGCTTGGCTCCTACACGAATGCTTGTCTATGAGTTGAATCAATCACTAGGTGGTTCTCCAAGCCTGATTCCACTAAAGTTTCTCTTTGCTTTTGTAGTGGGGATGAGCACAAGAGCCCCTCACAATCACGTTCGGAGCACCTCACAATCTTCAATTGAGTGCTTTGACGGAGTACCCACTGCTCCAAGCCATCTAGGTGGTGGCAACCATCAAGAATAACAAACAAAATCCGCAATCAATACCAATTACTAGTGCCGCTAGATGCTATCTCTCAAAGCAAATGTATTAGATCACTTCAATCTCACAACAAATGCAATCTCTAGCAAGTTTTATGTGAGTGGAGAGTTTTTTTAAACTCTAATGGGTGTGCAAATCAACAAGGAAGTCTAAGAGTTCTAAAAGAACCGGCCACATCCTCTATTTATAAGCCCACTAAGGAAAATAACCGTTACCCACTCATTTGACAGTGTGGGTACTCACCGGAGAGCTCCGGTGCACCACTAAAGCTTTCCAACAGTCATAACGGATCTCAAAACTAGCATGCCCTACATAAATGCTTGTTTTCTTGAGTCGGTGGTGGCCTAAGGTCGATTTCGAAACCATCCACGAAAGTATATTTTGACTGTCCTTGAAAATTGTTTGTATAGTATTGGTTTAAAAGCTGCGTGCAAATTGAGGAGAAATAAAGTGTAACAGCACCATATTCTCTCTTGCTAGTAGCTACCGTCACATTTTGACAAAATAAAATTACTAGTGTATACATATACTACTGTTGTAATCTACACAACTGAGAGCAAGTAATTTGGTTGACTGTTGTTTCCACTAACATATTTTGCTGATCAGAACCAACCCAGTTACTAGCAAATCCCATAGATGGTTGACTTTAGCCTGTTGCTGCATCCAGCCTCCTGCTACTTCAGAAACTCAACAAATCCCATGCAGAGGGAACTGCATCCCTCAGCAACAGAATGGACAGCAAGAACAGCAAGGAAACCATTTTGTCACAGTTGGTGGTTGTGGTGTTGATTCTGGTGCTGGTGCCGGTGTTTGTTCTGGAGCTGGGGCCAGGGCCGGGGCTTGCTCAGCTTCCAGTGCCTTGTCTTCTACTTTTGGTGCTTCCTGCTCAACAAGAGGCTCTGCCTGCTGTGATAGCTGCGATGTGCTTTGCCGGGCAGGCTCAGGAGGGTCGTCTTTCAGGGATTCACTAGACCTCACTTCACCTGCCAATCTGAAGAAATTGCAGATAATTAGGAACGAATACGTAACACCTTAGATTCAGAAAACATTGGTTGAATCTTTCACCAATGCAAGCTCATATTGACATTCTAATTGTTAT